TTCCAGTATCATTGGAGGATAATCAAATGGCAGGAAGGTATAGATACAACTATTCATGAAACGCCATCTCAATTTGTCTGTAAGATTGTCTCAAGCTTCAGTAGATGGCCAAACAATCGCGAGGCTCCGTGGGCTCAGCGACACTGAAGTCATGTACTTTAGTATATGACTTTAGTGTTACTTAACTCGCGTCTTCGTCTTGGAGACATGTCCCCCCACACTGGACTCACAAGCTAAAACCAATGGATCGTACTGTTTTAAGTTCTTTGAAGAAGGCTTCAAATACAGCTTGCGATAATTGGATGCGACTACTAGGAGAATGGTGACAAAAATTTTTTTTTCAAATTTTCCTTAGTTTTCTTGTAGGCCATTAATACTTTCAATTTTTTTTATGCCTGAATTACACATAGAAACAAAAATTTCTAGGAAACAAAAATCATCAAAGTCCGACTCTTTTTTGCTAAGATATACTTATTTTAGTTACAATTATCACAAAACCCTTGAGTTTTCTAATAATTGTTCATTTTGAACATACAATAGATTTTTCGTCATAATCAGGATATTATTTGATAAACAGTATGCTAACTCGTATATGAACATCAAATTTAGGGGATAACGTACTTTCACTCTCTCTTTACCTCTCGCAGGTTCATAGCTGTGCACAAGCAAATTTTTCCGCTCCAGATTTTGATTAGTTTTTTGTATATTTATACCTCCGTTAGAGTGATTTCCAGTTGGCACACATTCCTCGGAGTCCAGGACAAGCCCTCACCTCGCATTTTGGTGTTCGTGTCTTCCTGGTGCCCGTTGACAAAGTTTCTTGATTTCTGGTACTGCCCTAACCTCGGTGACTGCCATCAGCGTTTTATCACCCCGATTTGGTGTTTCTGCGGGTTTGCGGAGTATCGTCTCCACTACTCAAATAAGGAGCTGCCTTCTGTGCACATACACGACATCCTGGTTGGAGGCGGAAAATTGTTCCAGGCTGCTGTTGTTTCGGGAGGTTGCAGGACGTCGGCTGCTAACCTTTGTTGACTGCCTTTTTCCGAGCAAGTGCTAATGTTCAGATTAGTGGTGAGTATTGGCTGATCTGGTGTGACTTGTGCGTCTGGCTTTTTTGGCTCGTTATCTCCTGGGACAACCTTGTTTAGTTAATGTGTGACCTTGACCTGTGGCTTCACCTGGCGAAAGTTCTTATGACTGATAAAATTTTAACTTGACAGTGTTTTTATCGACGGTCGTATCACTATAGGTACTGCGATTTACAAATTCCAACCGGGCACGCTCCATTACAATTGATGTTTATCAACCGTCAGATCATTGGATGTCTTGTTTGTATTTACTTTTGAACTAAATAAGTGAGAGTGATAGAAGGTTTAAAGGTTTAAAGGTTTTTATTAATGACCTCAGGGTAAAAAAACTCCATCTGGCCTATCAAGAATATACAAATGTTTACAGTGAGCCTGTTGAAATACAAAATGGCTCTCTCGCCACAAAATGCAGTCACTATAGGTGAAATTAACCAAGATCAATACAAGTTCTTTAAATCAAACAAAGGTGAAGTCAAAGAAGAAAAGAAAAAGTGGATATTACAAGGCCAAACTGTAAAAATAAAAATAAATACACTAGATTTCGCTGAAAGCAGCTTACAGATTCGAACTACATCTTTAGGATTGGTAGTCGGGGATCTTTTCGATTATGCTATGCAGCACGCCAATCCAATCTTTGTTCTTATTATTTATGGACACCAACCGAGAAACTTCTGAATCAGAAAATTGATCTATAATTAGGCGTTTCTTATGATATGTATAATCGAGCCCGCCGATTTCAAAAGAAATAGTTATGATTATTTTTGAGTGGTCTATCAATGTCAAAATTGTCTAAAATTGTGTTTAAAAGTTAGTTTTGCTTACATCTTTTAACGGTTTGATACATAAAAAAATAAAAATACCAGCGTGTAGAACAAAAAATTTTCTATCAATAGGCATTTTTAATTTTGTTTTAACTAGCTCAAAAGGTTAAGAAAAAAATAAAAAAGGCATTTTGGTAGTACCTGTAAAAATAAGCAAGATAGAAAGAGCCATTGATCGTCTGCTCTCGGACTCGCTCTTTCTCTCTCTTTCTCTCTCTCTCTCTCCATAGTACTCATACAGGTAAGCCTTTTTCATTGCTTTTTTTAATATTTTGTGCCTGTAGAATATGATTAACTAATATAAGGATAAGTATAATTTTTTGTCAGCATTTTTAAAAATTTATTCTTTGTGATCAGGATGATTTTAAAATATAAATATTTTACCACAGTGGACAATTTTTCCGGGTTCTTGCAAGTGTGTTGATTCAAACTCCATTCTAACCTGTCTTTAGTAAAGAGCCAACCCAACGAAATTCGCGCACGTGCACAACTACGCACAGTAAACAGGTATGCGAATCCGAAAAGAGATAGAGAGACAGAGAAAGTAATGCACATAAACGTTTGTTAAACTAATGTATCTACCTATAAGTAGGTAGGTAGTATATATACTCTTTGCCGTCTATTATTATTCTTTCTCGATCTCGTTGTTTATATGTTAATGAACAAAAAAAAATGTAAACAAAATTTGCTTTTTCCTAATCTATAAAATTTACTTATCAAGATACATTCTTCTTAATGTAAAAATATAAAACGAAGATTCTTTAGAATCAAAAAAACAAATACTTTTCATACCTTGCGCGTTTTTGAGAGTCTGGTGTACGCTCGATAAATAATAGGGTTCGCCACATAAGCGCCATTGCTCCGTGGCTGCCTTACGTCCCTCAGGCCCCGTTTTGCAGGTCCGTCGGGCCGCAAAATAGACCTGGAGACGATGGCACTTATCTGACGGAAACTACTATTTTCATCTTAGACAATCACATATTACCGAGTTTAACAACATATTCTATAATGTTTCACATCTGTTGTGGGTCCTGAGATCCACACCTGATTTTTTTCTTACATAAGCAATTTAATTTAAATATCTATAGTTTTTAGCCAGAGGATTTTTTTTATAATAAAATTCAGGATTATAATGTAATTTTAAATCCAGTTATCAAGTCACGTGGGAGCGCGACAAGGTAAGTTTGAGAAAGCAGACAAAGCCTTGGTGACTGCGCTACTATTTACTTCAGATTTGCACACTTGAATTTTCAAATACCAAAAAAAAGTATTTTTGCCCGTACGCCTGATGTATTTTGGTTGAATTTAGTTTCTTTAATCCTACTCTACAGCTTCACCAAAAAATATCGGTCAAAAAGTCGTTAGAACAACGAAAATGAGACATGTCGACGGCTCGGTAAAAGACAGAGCCAACTCAGATACTTGGTTAAAAAGAAGCCAACTCGAAATTCGGGTTGAAAAAGCAGTCAAATCAAATTTGGCTTCAAAAAAGAGCCATTTCACGTTCGGGTTGAAGAAGCAGCCACACTGTTAGATATATTCGTGTTAAATTTAATGCAAATGGCTTGAAAGCAAATTTCACACAGGCTAATGAAATATTTTTAATACAAATAATTAAATTTAATACACATGACGTACCTATAAGGCAAATATTCATTAAATTTAATCAATTAAATGCCCAAAATCTTTTTGAAAATGCAGTGTAATTTTAAGATGTGCTACTTGATTTAAAGAGAAGAACGTATGAAATTTGACACAAGCATCTGAAATATTTTTAGTACAAATCAGTAAATTTAATACACATGACGTACCTATAAGGCACATTTTCATTAAATTTAATAATTTGAATGCCCAGAATCTTTTTGGAAATGCAGCGTAATTTTAAGATGCGTTACTTGAGTTTAAGGGAAAAACGTATGAAATTTGACACAAGCATCTGAAATATTTTTAATACAAATAATTAAATTTAATACACATGACGTACCTATAAGGCACATTTTTATTAAATTTAATTATTTGAATGCCCAGAATATTTTTGGAAATGTAACGTAATTTTAAGATGCGTTACTTGAGTTTAAGGGAAAAACGTATGAAATTTGACACAAGCATCTGAAATATTTTTAATACAAATAATTAAATTTAATACACATGACGTACCTATAAGGCACGTTTTTATTAAATTTAATTATTTGAATGCCCAGAATATTTTTGGAAATGCAGCGTAATTTTAAGATGCGTTACTTGAGTTTAAGGGAAAAACGTATGAAATTTGACACACGCATCTGAAATATTTTTAATACAAATAATTAAAATTAATAGACACGACGTACCTATAAGGCACATTTTCATTAACTTTAATAATTAGAATGCACAAAATATTTTTGGAAAAGCAGTGTAATTTTAAGATGCGTTACTTGCTTTTAAGGGAAAAACGTATGAAATTTGACACACGCATCTGAAATATTTTTAATACAAATAATTAAAATTAATAGACACGACGTACCTATAAGGCACATTTTCATTAACTTTAATAATTAGAATGCACAAAATATTTTTGGAAAAGCAGTGTAATTTTAAGATGCGTTACTTGCTTTCAAGGGAAAAACATATAAGATTTTTCACGCGCTTTCGAAATATTTTTCTTGCAAATCTTTAAATTTAATAGACACGACGGAAATACAGGGCAAATGCTCTAAAAACCTAATAATTTAAATGGGCAGGATCAGCCAGAATTCAAAAAACATTTTGAAATTTCAGACATGTTTTTTAACTTTTTTTATTTTGAGTTATTAAATTCAAACTGCTTGACATAAGCTTGAGGTACATGGATCCAAAATTATAGACAATAATTTTATTGACGTTTAGTGTAAGCTCAGTGCAAGATTAAGTCATGTTCCTCAATTGACAAAACGTACTTGTAAAAATGCTCCTAATTATTTTTTTCTACATTAAGGAAATAAATATACTTGAAATCACAATAATAAAATACATCAACCACTTTTTTTGTTCAATTAAATTATTATATTTAGTAAATACTTTACAAAATTAAATTAAGATATTTAAATAGTTATAAACATTAGTCGTTTCCAAGCACTTTTTTTATCACTTCCAGTTTTTAAATACATTTAGTACGCAGAATAAAAGTCTTTAGAAAAATACTGCCAATGCACCTAATCACGTTTTATCACCTAGCCTCTTGATTATCCCTACTTATACAAACTTATGCATTATTGATTACTTTACCAGATACATAGACTGTATTATACGAAGTATACTTATTGAGACTAATTATTGTAATTAATCTTTTTGTCATTTAAAATTATTAGTGGTTTATCGAGCATCTTACAAGAAATAATTTTTTTAAAGTCAGATCTAACTTTTGAGATGATTAATATAGGTTATGTAAAATTAACCTCATACTCTGATTTAAACTAATTATAGATCGTGTCCTAGAACTTTTTTTTATCATTTTCAGTTTTCAAATACAACTAGTACACTAAATAAAAGTCTTCACAAAATTACTCTCTATGCACCTAATCACGTTTTATCACCAAGTTTTTTTTAAAATCCCTACTCGTACAAACTTATGCACTATCGATTAATTTTACTAGGTACATAGACTATATATTAAAAAGTTCATGTGTTGCTACTATTAAATTCTTTCTGGCTTTTGAAATTATTGCTAACTTATTGAGTGTCTGAAAAAAAAAATATATATATATTTTTCTGAAGTCAGAACTAATTTCAAAGATATTTAATACAGACTTTGCAAAATTAACTTAAGACTTTGATGTAAATAAAAAAAAACATAGATCGTATCCTACCGTTTTTTTATCGCTTTTTCTTTTCAAATACAATTAGTGCGCAGAATAAAAGTTTAGAAAAAACATTGTCTACGCACCTTATTACGTTTTATTACAAAGTTGTTGGATTATCCCTACTCGCATTAATTTACGCACTATCGATTAATTTTACCAGATACGTAGACTATAGAATAAAAAGTACATTTTTTGTTACTATTCAATGTGATAAGCCATTCTGGCATTTTAAATTAAGAATAATTTATCGATTGTTATAAAAGAATCACATTGATTTCAGTCTGACCAAAAGTTAAAATTTTCCTTGATAAAGACAATTTTCATTTGTATTGATTTCAAGTAAGATCATTATAACTATGGAAATACCCTTTTTTTAATTTTATACGGTATCTTGTTCTTCATGTTGTTCTGCATCAAACTCATTTGAAAATCCTGCTAATTGCTTGGCTAGCTTAAAAACTGCAGAATCATACGATTTACGCCGTCTTTTAGCATTTGATGGTCGTTTGCTTCCGGTTGGTGGAATAATTTTTAAAAATAATCTGAAAGTATGTAAAAAATTTTTTAGTTTTCTGACCATGACAGTCTTGATTTTAAGTCTATTAACTCATTTAGAAATTCACATAAATGTCTACATACTTTGTTTTTAATCTTAACATTTCTTCAAAATACCATTATAATATTGTTAAATGAAAAATTTAATCATTTAATAAAGACAAACTTTTATTAATAACTATGTAGAAAAAAAAGATTCGGTTGAAACTTAAAAACAATAAATATGCTATTGCTGTAAGCAACAGTTAAATAATTAATACTTTTTAGATATGAACCAGTAACGTTTTTAGAAGTACAACTTTTATACTTGTAATTAAAAATGGTATTTTTTCGAAATATATTTATCATGTAAATAAGTTAAAAATCATTTTATTTAATAGCGTCAACATCTCCGTGCGTTTTATTGCGCAGACATACATATACAAATTTCATTCATAACATGCTTTTAGTAATTAAAATTTACCTTTGGATGAATTCCAATGTTTTTTCCAATTCGGATGGGTAGCAAAACCCAAATAGGTAGTAAGATAAAAACGTGATCAAGATACCGTCTACGGCATTGGTTACATGAATAGATAATTCTTTTTTAATAATAACGTTGAACTTTGCAGTTTCATCATCAAAACACTTTCCTGCAAAAGTAATACTTTCTTTTGACTGAGAACATTACATTTACACAAAAAATTATTAACATACCTCTGATGTTTCGAATGTGATTTTTTAAATGTTTCAGAAGGTTATTATGATTGTCAAACTATTTTTGATATGTCACAACAGTACATACAAATTTCCCTTGTTCATCTGCTGGACATGTGGTCATAATTTGTTCTTGTTTTAATCGTAAACCGTGACTTCTAATTAAGTGGGTTTTTAAGTATGATTTTTTCCAAAAAATTTGTGGCATCTTTCGTAACCGCAATAATAGAATTTTGTAACATTTCTATGAAAACTTCGATGTTCCATGTGTGCCTTTATTGATGACGTTTGATGCTGACAAAAGTTGCAGTAGAACATAGTACCTACAATATACGTATTCATGTATACACGCGGTTATCAAAAGTTTTTGTCATACTTCCATACTTTGCAATTGTATAAAATGACATAATAATCAGCAGATAACGATTTAATATATATGAAAATGCTGCAGTGATATTTATAAAACAGGAAAGCTGTATACACCATTTAATTACTGGACAAAATAACAATGTAAAGCAAAATATGAAGCATACTTATTACTTGATAGGGTAAATAACATGAAACACATTTTTCATTTTTACAATTAGTCAAAGTAATATGTAAAGAGATCAACGTAATGTCAAAAAAACTCTTCACGACTAAAAAAAGCATGATATCAAAATGTGGCTCATTGTAACGGAAATAAAAAATTTTTCATCCAGTTGAAGTATTGAACGAAAAATTGAATTGACATTTTAAATATTCATCAGTAGTCATCGTTATACAAGTTTTTAAATATATATCGTGAATCTTGTTTATGAGCCTTTATCATTGTACCCAAACATTCAAAAATTTATCTTCCAAATAAAGTAAAACCATAAATACTAACTTGATTATTATGTTATTTATACCATAAATATTTTTTTAAACTAAAAAACAAGTTTTTATTGATTTTTTATTGGATGAAACGAAAAAAATTTTATTCGTATATATTTTTTTAAAACATTAAAAAAGGTTAATTAATAAATACTAACGTTAGGGTCTGTAAATATGGATAAAATAAAAGATACCTTGCTCTGTCTCTAAGTAGAGAATGACAAAATTGACCTAAGTAGTTTTGGGTTACTGTATGTATTTTCTGTAACGTTAAGTGAGCTTTAAATAGTAGTCAGTGAGTAGAACTTTTTTTAAGAAAATCGATGGATTAAATGTAAATTTTTTTTAAATTTAACGAATTTGGTAAAGTTTTCTAAAAGGCGATGTTTTGCAGTGTTAACAATGGTGGCGAGGAAATATGCTAAGATTTCATGAATTTATTATATTTGTTAAGTAATTTTTAACCTTCAAACCATAGGCATCTTGCAAAATAAGGTGAAATCGTTAAGTTTTTGCAATTCTCAAGTTGTGGCTCCCAATCAATCAGCAAGTAACTTTCTCAAGTTTTTTTCTGCATTAAATTTTTTATAAACGTTTGTATACATACTGAGTTAATTTATTTGTATTGCTACGTAATTCATCAATTTTCATTATAAAATGATCAATCGCAGTTTATATAATGATTTGTCTACAATAAAAATTTTTTGGATCTCATACGCCACTTTCATACCATTTTGTAAAATGTTTTTTTAATAAAAAAAAGAAAATTATAATTTATAGTGCAATTGTTATCAATTAATATCATTCATATTCATTTTTGAAATTAAAAATGTTTTGGAATACGTATTTACTTTGAATTGCATAATGTAATCGTATGCCCCAAAAGTGAGTCACATACCCCCCTCCCCCCCGGCTTATCCTTGCTGTCATTTAGCTCCTCTTCAGCTCCCGCTCAAATAATTTAGTTAATCGTTCATTTGCCAAGTAAATTTTCGAGGCTTAAAGGCAAATGCAATTTAAAAAATCATGTTTTTTATTACTACAGATTAAAAAAAATAACATTGACTCAATTAGTTACGCCATCAATATATCTATGTATAGATACAATTCATCTATTACTAAATAAACAGAATCGAGAAGTGAGAAATATACAAAATCCTTCATTACTTTTTCATGGTTCAAACTAAAAGTATTCACACTAAACATATTGTGTTATGGTATCACATTGTAAACGCTCGCCTATTTTCTTATTCATTTTTATCGTTCCTACCTCTAAAAGCTACTTTTTACGAAAATAGAAGCCGTGCTAAGTCATGTCACGGCTGGTTCATAAAGAGCCGAACCCGGAACACCTACTTTCTTACCAAAAACATTTCGAGTGTTCAATAAAAGAGAGGAAAATGGGGTGAGAAAGTAAGTGATTCTCCCGCGGATGTTTGGCCAAGAGTCATATTTTTAAGGAGACAATATCATCGCTTTATCAACGATAAACAGTTTTGGTTTTAAAAATTTTTCATGTAATATATTGCTATAGTGCGAGCGTACTTCATTTGTGACTTAAGCAAAATAAAGTTCTTAATTTTGCTTTTAAAAACAAGAAATGTAAAATAATAAATGAATGCTTTTTAACAACGAACATGAGAGTTCTTTTTCACAGTTTTTTCTTTTCTTAGGATGAGGTTCATATAAAAATCTTGGTTCCATATAATTCAAATTCTGACCCTAAAATTGCTAAATTAACACAATTTCTTGAAATAATAAAAGCTTACATAAGTTAATATTAATTCTATGTAAATACTTTAAGAATTTACATTACCCACCCGATGTTGTAGATGTATACGTGCATGCTTATAATGTGGGCAACACCATGCTTGCATACAAATATGTGCAGAACTTTGCATGCAAATTTAAGTTTCTGTAGATTCTTCTACAGTTCAATGCTTTTTTTATCAATCAGTTAAATAAATTTACTTAGCATTAAAGAAAATAACATAAAAGTATTCTCTACGAATAAATATCGGTAGAAAAAGGAACGTAAGAGTCGATTTCAGATAAGATAGTTATGCACCAGCAGCTAATTATGTGTTTGTGGTAATTATTTTAATTGTATATTGATAATCTTAATGCACATGTCAGTTACGTTTATGTTTTTGATTATTCGATTTACCTATACTGTGCATGAATCATCCAATAACACTGTAACTGAAATTTAATATTTCAACATTCAATGTTAACTGAAAATTTTATATGTTTAATACTTTTAATGCACATGTCCGGTAAATTCAATAAATGCACGAAAATTTTTAGAGTGAATGTTAAGATTTTCTCAACACTTAGGTCCGATTGATAAGAGAGCACATCCATACACAAGTACCTACAATTACTCACCCACACTCGTAAACACGCGTTAAAAAACTTGGACTATGTAATTTTTGATTATAACAAGCACGCAGAGCTAGTTTTAACAAGGCAAAAGGACGCCAAGTGACACAAACGCCACGAGCTGCATAAAATTAAAACTTGCGAGTTGATCCGGATTGTAAAGTATTTGCACTTAGAACGCGACGTTTAGAGTACATATAGGTTAACTTGCTTGCCACGCGAGCCCAACACCTCGAGACACGAGCCGAGACAGGCAAGAACGTGGTTATCGTTTATTAAGCACACATTTGCATCTGTAAGCTGGAAAACGGGAGAGAGGTTTACCACTGTCGTATTGTGTACGTTAATGTTAATAATTTTATACTTAAGTGTTGTACAATACAGGCTTTCAATATTTCCATTGAAAATGATTTTTGGAAAAGTACATGTGTGTGAACTTACTACGTATGTGTTAATATGTACATATGCATACAAACACTATCTTTTTCATATAAAAATATAATCAAAATTTAAACAGCACTAATTAAGGAGAATTAGATGACGAAAACGACTTACCTATATTTTGTTGTCACGTTCTAAAATGGTGGTCATACAAATTACTGGAAACTGAATCTCGTGGTGTATACTATAATCTTGTATATAAATTGTCTTGATTTAAGTACACTCACGCTGTTAATGCCATTAGTGTATTATTCTGATTCGTTTTCGTACCGACTTACCCTGAGTACTTGGACACGTATTATTTAAAGTCAGAATTAAAAGACTGAAAAAGAGGCCATAACTGTGCTTTGCAGATAAAGTACAATGCCTCAAAGGGACCTTTCGCACAAGTAGCTCGAGCCACACTGCTCACTGTAGAGAGATTAGTAAGGAATACGGATCCTATGGTATACAGTGTATACTATGTCGCCGCCGTCGCTACTTTACCAGCAGAAGAGGGTAAAACCAAAATATGCGTATACGGATCTGCATATAATATATGGACTATGGAGAGAGAGAGAGAGAGAAGTATAGCTTATATGTATTGGGAATATTGGGATCGGAACAACAGTCGTAGACTAAGAGCTAGGGCCAGGTGGGTGGATAAATTGCAATATCGACGCCAATTTGTCAAATATTGGGAAAACTCATAATTCGTGTATATCCGAAGTATTTTTGGGATATCTATTATTGATAATGAGTTAGGTTGTTTTAAAAAAAGTTCCAGGGTGTCAAACATCAAAATAGCCGCCACCTGGTCGAATGGATAGATGATAAAAAGTTAATAAAAGAAAGTGACATTGGCGGCAAAATTAGAGTACTTGACGCAAGTTGACCCTCAAGCTTGGACATCCCCGTACAAAGACCGAAACAGCCGCCACTTTACCGAACGTTTTTTTTTTAATAATATATGCTCAAAAACAGAGTGGCGGCAATTTTTGGTAAATTTAAGGAGGGTAAATTATTTTTTTTGCGTCAGTGAGTGAGTATTAGGAGTGCTGTTTACTTCATGTGCAACGCTTATGTACGCCAAAAATGGCCGCCACTCTGTTTTTAAAAATATATAATTGTAAAAAAACGTTCGGCAGAGTGGCGGCTTTTTCAGCGTTAATACGGGGGTGTAATAAAAATATACAAAATTTTCAAATTTTTATAATATACGGCCCTTTGTTACCAATTTATCGCTACCATGTATTATGGTAGCGATAAATTCATGTATTAGTCAGTCGAATCAAAATTCAATATCTAAATGTAAAGTGTTGAGTTTTTTTTATTAAATCTTTGTTGTTTTCAATCCACATGACTGTTGAGTTTAATGCATTTAGATATGAAATGTAATGCTTCTGTGCATTAATTGACTAATGATACATAACTTAAAATTTAATTTTCATGCATAGAACTTTAAGTAACAATTGTCGTAAGTATTTATTAATTTTAATGAACACGTCTCATAATTTTATGAAATTATTTATAAAATTTAACTTTGCCATGTATTACTGGATAAGTAACACGTGAATCAAAATTTAATACTCAGACGTACAATTTTAAGTTTCTTTTTTATCAAATACTTATTATTTTCAATGCACATGACGGTTGAGTTTAATGCACTTAGATATGAAATGTAATGCTTCTGTGCATTAATTGACTAATGATACATAACTTAAAATTTAATTTCCATGCATAGAACTTTAAGTAACAATTGTCGTNGCTTCTGTGCATTAATTGACTTATGATACATAACTTAAAATTTAATTTCCATGCATAGAACTTTCAGTAACAACTGTCGTAAGTATTTATTAATTTTAATAAACACGTGTCTTAATTTTATGACATTATTTATTAAATTTAACTTTGCCATGTATTACTGGATAAGTAACACGTGAATCAAAATTTAATACTCAGACGTACAATTTTAAGTTTCTTTTTTATTAAATATTTATTATTTTCAATGCACATGACGGTTGAGTTTAATGCACAAAGTTATTAAACGTAATGCTTCTGTGCATTAATTGACTAATGATACATAACTTAAAATTTAATTTCCATGCATAGAACTTTAAGTAACAATTGTAGTCAGTATTTATTAATATTAATGCACAAGTGCATCTTTACATGATTAGGTTACCTTTGCATTAAATTTAATGAACTCTCGTGCATGAAATCGTGTTAAACTTCATGACATTTCTAACAGTGTATGCTATAAAAAAGAATTCTGTACATATGACGATTATGTTCATCATGGGAATCTTTCTCCCAAAACTTAGTGCTACGCTTGTACTAAAGTAAAGTAGGGTGGCTCTCTCTCTGAGGTTTGGTACAGCTGCTGTTACTATTTTGCGAGAGCTCGCCTTATGTATATAGGACAGCGGTCGATCCAAATGTCTCTCCATGTTGGGCTACAAATAAAGTGCAAAAATTTTATCTCGGCGTCAAAAACCAGCTGCCACTTAGTTGTTCACATAATTCAGCGTGAAAAAAAACTTTTACTCTACTGTTTCCTGATTCATCCAACAAACCATAGATTCTCTACCACTCCTCTACAATATTAGTAACATCTTGTAATATATTATACGCATATATATATATGGCTACTATCGCAGATTCATTTCAAAGTCAGAGGAAAACGTATGATACTTGTATGAAACATATAAAATATAGCGGAGGCCTCCAATGTACGAGTATATACGGATGCTTACATAATTATATATGGTGCTACGGTCGCCCGCTGCTGTTCCGTCGGCTTTGCGCTAGACTCGTTCTACTTACTCACGCTTTTGATCAAGAGTTGTTCGACCAACATCTTTTCGAGGGCTCGAAGATGTGTTTAATTACTTATTTATAATTATTATTATAACAGTACGTATTTGATAACAAAAAAAAGACTGTTGATGTAAAAAAAGGTTTTTCTCATCAATATTTTCAATTTAACATGCTTTGGCACGATCGCATTGTGAACAGTTAACACTTTTTTTATGATATATACCAATGACTATACTCGAGTACAATATTTTAGTAATCTTTTGACCAAATAGCTTCAGAAAGTCAAGTGAATGATTATTTCTTTAAAGCTATGATTATAATCCATAGTTTCGTATTATTTTTTCTACGTGCAATGGAATTTCTGGAATATTAAGAAAGTTAAAGAAAATAATAGATAAACACATAAAAAAAAGTTTCTGAGTAACACGTATCTACCAGTGGTTGGGAATCCATGTCTGCAATGCTTCCAGATCGATCTGCTTTGTATCCAATAAAGTCTCACGAAAAACCCTTAGTTTATAATTTACGTTCCTAAAAAATCGTGCTAAAAATATTAGTAGCCTCTCTTTTAAACAAAGTATTTACACATAGCTTGGCTTAGAATAAAGTTGAAGTGGCCCGAAATTTACTAGCGTTTTCAAATCGTTTCTATACTTTAAAGTAACAAAAAATCCCAGTGCTCGCCGTAATCGATGAAATTGTAACTTTAGTTGTGCTCGAATCAATTAAAACGGTTTTCACAAGCTTTTCGTTGGTTTTTCGTTTAACGGTGTATATATGTGAAAAAAGAAAAGAAAGAAATCCGACCAACTATTGTACTTGGGATAAACAAGATTAACAAGATTAACAAGACACACTGGCATCATCAAAATTCGCTTGCCAGTACAACCAAACAGTACACACCCTCTATGTATCTCGGAGGGCCGCCGGAGGGTCGTCGGCAACGCGCGAATGGCTATTCCCTCCCGAGTACCGTGTAGTACACGGCAAAAAAACGCACAGAGAGAGCGCGGTCGTCCTCGCTAGTATTCCATCTCTCCCAATGACAGGCGGACACGACCTGCAATGTACCCGCGACGACGCGTTCCAGTGCGAAAAACTAAACTCTTCCAAGTGGAACTCGATAATCCGATGCGAAGCTACTGTGCGTATACGAGCTATATAGGCGCGAGTGGCGCGTCAGCGACATTAATTAAGACCGCGCGTCTCCCCCCCCCCCCTCGTCGTGCTTCCAAGGATAATACAACGCAGCGGAGCCTCGGCTTTCTTTTGCACTCCGTGGCCTGCGCGTACGGGCTTTCTTGGGATTTCACGTCGCGGAGATTAATGAGGAGGAGCCGATGAAGTAGCTCGACGGGAACAAAAGACGCGGCCGCAGGTGATGGATATTTCTCGCTCTAGCGCGTCCAAATGAGCTGAAGAATGAGACGCACAATGGACATCCAGTGGATGGACTGTACGTCGCGGAGAGGCGCGGGGAACGCGCTAGAATCAATTTTCCTTACGGGGAGGCTATGGGAATCGCGCCTCTGTGCTGCCTTAATTACCATGTGATTTGTGCGCATTGAGTTGGTGGGTACGTGAATAATTAGGTATACCTCCCCGGTAATTCTTTAAATGGCCGATCAATCAGAACTTCCATTTGGGCTAAGGATTAATATATATATGCGTGGCGAATATTAGTAGTGTTGAAACGTTAATTGATACGGTGGCTGTATTCTTCTGAAGGAGAGTTGGTTGTTTTTTTGTTTAAAGATCCTCTGTACATCTAGAGAGAGACGTGAGAGACATGTTTAAAAATCATTTCGCGAGCTATATTTTCAAAACTTTGCATGGGCCAATCGTCCGTACCCATACCATACGAATGGCTGAATCGAACTATTCCTGGTGGGATAATAGGCGTGGACATCCCATTTTCTACTTCTGATTCTGCGATTTTTTTGTAATACAAGTTACTTTTATTGATGAAAAATGCCGGTCGGTTCGAGATTTACTTCAACGTTTTTGATGATTCCTTTTCTTACGATTCGCCGATCTAACCCGTCATACGTAGGAATAATAAATTTTTCCGACAATATTTCAACAGCAGGAAAATATGTTGCAACTACGATTAAATACTCATTGCACTCGTGTGCTGCTGGAAATAAACGTCACCACAAATGGCGCAAAGATTACATCAGGGACATATGACCGTTATGGGACAGTATGTACGTGTTGAAATTTGAAAAAATTCGCACTTAAGCGTTCAGTTATGTATACCATGTTCAAGACTTGAGAAGATCAACAATTTGTGGCAAATCAAACAAATGTAGACCTTAGGATTGGTGAACTATGAAAGTCGACGCGAAAGATGGTCAGTTTTGATGTCACCCACGCATAAAAGTCCGCTCGAACAGTATGGAATAAAATTGCTAAATCGATGGACAAACGTTTCCGTTTGATTGGTAAGTAAGGGCCCAAAAGGCACAAATTAATTTCCTGCATATTGACTGCAAAACCAAGTGAGTTGCTCCAATTCTTGTACCATTTCAAAAAGCATCACAAGTAATATTGATGGGGTAAGCATTGG